AGAACTGCACTTTCATTTAAAAAACACAGTACAGCCCTGTTGGTGCAATCTGACAAACAAACACTTTAGCAGATGCCATAGCGAGCACTCTAGTATTCACATTAGATCAGATGCACTAAGATGAGCCAAGAATTAGGATTAATGTCACAAGTTTTTGCAAAGCTTGTATAAGACTCTAAATGCTTATTCATACAACAGTAAAGTTTTTCTGAAACAAGCTAACAGCATTTAATCTGTTTAAACTCCCATGGCTTGGTAAGAGGTAAACTGAGGTAATTCCATTAGGCATTGAAGAAAATTCTTCATACACATTAACTGTAGCAAACACTATCAACATCACTTCAGACTACTATGTTTTCTTTCTTACTATTACAAATCAGGTGCAGCACATTTCTAAGGCACATTTTTCAAAGTATGTTAATCAAAAATCATGCATTTGTTCACTGGAATACAGGGAGTGCCACACTGCATCAGATCAATAAACTTTGCTTCTAATAAAGTGTTAATGAAGCACACAGAGCTGTAACTCCTGTAGTAGAAAATTATGTAATACCAAGCATTAGGGGTGGGACGGGAAAACAGTGACAGTACAAGCTGCAAAAGAGGGCAAATTTACTTTGGGCAGCTTTAAATGTACTGGTGATCAAAACTGTTCTCACAAAACCATTTTCATCATACTGAGTTTAAACTCTTTACTCATACAGCTGTATGAGGTTAATGTCCTTGTGCTTAAATTTATTAGGAATTGCTGCCCTGGATAGTAAAGCATCAGGGAAGATGGGAGTTCGAGCAGTAGTCTACTACATGAGTACTACAATCATTGCTGTACTGATTGGTATAATCATTGTGGTCATCATCCACCCTGGGAAAGGTACTAAAGAAAACATGCACCGAGAAGGCAAAATTGTGCAAGTGACAGCAGCAGATGCCTTTCTTGATTTAATCAGGTATGGCTATGATTTTGCACATTTTCTGTATCAATAGCAATGACAGTAATATTTAGATTCACACAAGAACAAAAGTAGAGAATTTTAGACATTGACTGCATATACTAGCCAAATTTCTTTCAACTGTGTGATACCAATATCTCTAACCCTTACAGCAATACAAAAGAATACATGGATTTATTTCCAAATCAAGTTGTTGCAAAAGAAGAAGCTGCTTTTAATATTCAAAGAAAGATTCTTTCTTTCATGCACAAAAGAAAGATTTCTGTTCTGCTATCTGCATGGGTCTTTTCCCCTCCTTCCATAGCACAATCCTTATTAACAAATTCCTCTGCTTTCCTTTACTTCCAACTTTTGACAGTTTTTTCACTTCACTTGAATCCCTGATTTAGCTATTAATCTTAATTTTGAATTGTAACTGCCAATCTACTCAACCTGTTAAATTGTATGGATGGGAAATAAATTCCAGGAACAAGTAAGTAAAAAGCTTAAAAGAGAAGCACAGATATAAAAACTTGTTTTCTCCTTGCTCAGAGACTCTGCAACGCCTCTTTTATAGAGCCAGTATGTCACAGATATATTCTAGGGAGTAGGGAAGCTGACGTTTAGAACTCAGAAGCTTTTCCACAAGTAAAGCCACCAGAATTTTGTGTTCCACTAGCCCGCTTGGAGAAGTCACAGACATGGAGAAAGGCCCCCCAAGAGTCATGCTGCCAGGAAGGGGGACTTAAGAAAGATCCATGAAGAGGTTTGCACTCAGATTCCTCAAGATTTATTCGTTTAGGCTGCTTCTAATTCCCTCAGAAGTGTCACCATTCTGGAAAGCAAACAAACACACACCCATATGTAACAAGTATACACATATATAATTTTATTTGTATGTATTATTATTAAAGAATACTGAAACTCTCAAACTTTATAAATATTTATCTCTTAATCACTACAAGACCTTAAATCATGTGATAAATGTACTAGGCTGTGACTTCAAAAATTGTTTGAGAAGCAGAAATACATTAAATATTAATTATCCCTTTATTAATATGGGTTCAGAAAGCATTAATAAACACAAAATTTAAAGTCAGCACTGACCCACTGAGCTTTGTTAATTTGGTAATTTAGCTAATATTCTGCTCCATAACCAAACCTGTTATACAATATTGGATACAGAGATTGCAACTGCCAGGATCTATCCAACCCTACTACATTTCATCCTGCTAAAGCTAACAAGGCCAATGCTATATGCAAAGCTCTACTCACTGTATACATAATAACAGATTTGTCTTAAGATTCCTTTGAAAATTAGCTGGTCAGTTCTTATATTAACTGTGTCCCTATGTTAGATATTGCTAGATTCTTATTACTTCTCATGTTATTTTCTTTCTTTTACGCAGAAATATGTTCCCTCCAAATCTGGTGGAAGCTTGCTTTAAGCAGGTAAAAAGGCTTTGTTATTTCCAACTAAAACATGTCAAAGTGAGAAACTGAAATGTATTAGTATTTTCTTTAGGAATATAATGTATTTGTACTTAAAACACAAACAAATCTTATGTATGCTGCCAGCTGTCAAAAAAACTCAAATCAAACCAACCAAATCTAAGCTTTGTTTTCAATCATGTTATCTCAGTATTTGATAAGACAAGTGAAAAAAACACGTCTGGCACAGCAAATAAGAGTTTTTTTTAAAATGTCCAATTCAAACATGTACAGCAAGATTCATGAAAGTAAATGCAGAACTTAATTTTTTTAAAAAATTATGTTAAATTGGGAGATACTGAGATATGCACCAACGAAGACTAGAAGGTGTTCAAGGATGTCATGTGAGAAATGTCCATCCGTTTGAAACAGAGGCAACAATTTTCATAGAGTCATAGAATCATTATGGTTGGAAATGACCTTTAAGATCATCTAGTCCTTTTTGTGGACATCAATATCAAAATCGAACTAGGGGACTTCCTGTCACCTATGAGTGCATAGGAATACTCTTTCTGTTGCTTCCCAAATTCCTCTATCACTAGCCTGATTTTAACCTCAACTGTTCTACAGAGAAAATGACATTCATTACATTCCTTTTTAAAAAGGAGGTCATTACAGATTTAGTGATACCTATAATGTGTATTTCCTTAATCGAATTGATTCATTTTGACCCACAGACAATCTTGAGCTGATATTATTTACCAGTTACTGCTGTAGCAATAAAAAAAGGTAACATGTGGAGGTCAACAAGCAAGAGAATAAAGTAGAAAGTTTCCAAAGTCCAGCTTGCAGAAGAATTGAACAGAAACAGTAACGTTTTCTTTAGTTATATCAACAAAGACCAATAAAAAGCAGTGACTCTATAGATTAAAGATTCCTTCAAGATTAAAGATAACCAGACCCAGGTCCAAAACCAACAAATGCTATGCCTCTATTTTCAGTAATGATGATGATGAACTCAGGACAGTGATGCAAAAGAGCTGTATGGAAATATAAATGTCTGTATCTAAACTAGAAAGAAAATTCAAATAATTTAATGTAATAAACTCAGGGAATTATATCTTTATCTCAATATAATGGAATAATTAAGGTATAAAGTTGCAGATCTACAAGAAGCAATTTTAATAAATCTCTCAGGTTGGGAAGTTACTATCTATAACTGGTGAAAGCAATCGTAGTGCCTTTCAAATTGCAATTCCAAAAACATTTGGGCATTAATGTAATCAGTTAACAACCCATTAAATTGATCTCTGTTGTCCTGAAGGATATAGATATCTTGAAGGAAAGAGTAAAGACTTCATAATAAATAAAAATGAAAAATACATTTTAAAAAGATAAAGAATAACACAGGTCTCTGAAACATAGATTGCAGCAGAATAACCTTTCATTTTTCTTCCACAAGATCACTCCTTCTTTCTTCTTTTTTTTTTCTTTTTTTGTGCCACAGAAGTGCAATGGATCTAATCTCTTTGGACCTCTGTAAAACAGAGTTTTTATATGAAGGAAGTGAAATAGTTGAGCAGGACATAAGATTATTATAAGAATTGTAAAATTTGTGGATACAGCAATAGAAGTTGTTGAAGGATTGGGAGTACCTCAATTGATATTTTTATGAATGATAGTACCACAGGATGCACACAATGAATTTTACAGATTACATGAAAGCAAAAGCACTTTGTATCAAGATATATAACAAATACCAAAGAAGTATATCCCTGACATAGTGTAGTACTATGAAGTCAAAACAACAAAGTGAATTTGCTCTTGCAGACATTGGTATGTTTGGTTATCTCCCTGTAGTTCTCCATCACATGTGAAATAAACATGTAGAAATTAACAGTAATGTCTGCTTTGAGGTAGGAAGTCATCATCAGAAAGAAAAAAAAAATATTAAACCCCCTCTAATTCTAATCCTCTAGGACATATTAGGTGACACAGCTCAAAGAGAGGAAATAAAGCCAGAGGAATATGACTGTCTGGAATACCGAGCATATTCTGGTCATAACATTCATAGGAAGATTCATGCAAAATGAGCAAAATGGAGAGAGGAGTTGCTGGGATTATCAAAAGAACACAGTGCATAGAGCAAAAAGAAGTTTGATTTTAAAACTATTAATGTAAAAAAAACCAAAACAAAGTGAGAACAAAACTGTATGAGATAAAGAAAAATGTTTCTACAAGAAGAAATGGAAATCACTATGGCTGAATTTAAAATGGGAATTAGTAAGGTTTTTAACCTTCATTACCTAAAAGGTAAGAACCTGGAAAAATCTTTAATTAGGAGTCATGGGAAGAAACTACTTCATCAGTTTTAAGATACAGCTTTAAAAAATTTTTCAATAGAGTATCCTACAAGAACAGGAAACTTGGCTCAGTAACTAGCAGTCCAATATGTATGTTCTTAGCTAAAGAAGTCCTGCAGATTCTGTTTACATTAAGTATATTGTATTTCTCATGCGCTTTACAGCTTTAAAAGATTTCCACAAAATTATCAAAAAAGCAGGAAATGTTTAATGGAAGTTTCTTCTGACTTTTCGCAGCAGCTATGCTTACTGAAGCATAAGGATTTTAAATCTGTCATAATCATACTATTACCCTTTCAATCAGGTACCATAACCTAGACTTTTAGGTATAAGATATTTTGTTGTAGCAGAGTTGTTAAATTAAAAACATTTTACAGGAGAAACAAGTCTATATAAGATTCATAGGTATCCAGATTACTTTGTACACCTGACTCTGTAACTTTCTTTTCAAAAGTTTACATCAGATGTTTTGTATGTTTCTCAGAAGATTTATGAAGAAGTATGATAACACCGCATTTACTGGCCCAAATACAAAACAGAACACTACTCACAACCATCCACACTCAAAGGTATAATACTGACCCACAGCTTTGCACACCTGGAAACCATCACTGGCATATCCACTCCACATTGAATCATCTCTTCTGATACATTAGGTGCTCACATTCTGTCTTGTAGCATCCTTAGCCAAGTTTCTTTCCTGACAAGAGATCTGCACTGGAACCCACTGGAAGGTTTTCCTTTCTTTCTTTCTCACCATGGCCAGCAGACAGGTCCTCTAGTGACAGTGTTCGTACTTACAGCAAGTTTTGAACCCACTACTTTCCCCTTCAATAGCAAGCACTTTCCAAAGCAGCTCCACTACCACATAGGACCAGCTATTATTTCCACATCTTTTAACCTCAAAAGATCAGCTATTACTCAATTTTGTAACACCAAGAAGTGGAAAATTTTACTTGCCTTTGGATAATTAATTTTAGTGAAGTAAAATTAGTTTTCTGGATGTGGAATTGCTCTCCTGCCAAATGAAATGAAGCTGCATGGAGAGGGTAACCAAGGTGGCTTCTAATTGGAGTTGTGAAAGCATTTATAAGATTGATGCTGGGAGAAGAAGAGTCTTGAAGGAAGACTGGGACCTTAGGGCCTATTCAGGAAGGATCTTTCTAAATTTACTACTGTTTCTCATTCAGTCTTCTGGTCCTTTGGGTTCCTTTTCCTGTTCTTCTTTCCCAGCAAGACTGTGAGGCAAATAAAACTGTCTCCTCTTGCTTCTACTTCTCCTCCTCCTTCTTTGCACATTTTCTTCCCCAGAAACAGAAAAAGCGGTGGAACAAAACACCACTTGCCCTTCAAAAAGGACTCCCCCACTGTGGATCCTAGAAGCCAGGAGTTGCCTTTGTAGGAGAGAAAGAGAGCCCATGGAGAAGCCAAAATATTCAGCTGAGAATCGGCAGAGCCATTTCAGGTTTAGCTGGTGGCATTCAGCCCCACGCCCCAGGAAAGTCGAAGAACCACCCTTGCTTAGCAAGTCAAGAAGAATAATCTGGAAAATGCTGGGCTTTAGCTTCACTCTGTTCTTGAGTAGTTACTTCCTTTCTCCCTGTGAAAGACCAAAGTCCTGTTGGCACCCTGTCTCTTTATACCACTATATTTGGATTTATCTTTCAGCTCTGGCTGTTGTCTCATCATTTCTCTTTCTTTGCTAAATTCAAAAATGCTATCTAGCCTGGGGCTAAGCAGCCGCAAGCAGTCTGCTTGTGAACTACTTGTTCTCTGTGCTGTGCTCTGGGGATATATCAAAAGACAAAAGAAAGACAAGTGAACCTGGGACATCAAGAGAAACAGAATCAGTTTAACGATTTGGGAAGGGTCATTCCATTGCCAATATGTGATACTCGATACCAGCTGAAGCTTAAAGAACTGGAAAGGTGCATCTGATAACTGCATTTTTTTCTGAGCTATTTTTAATTAAATATTCTTTCCTGAACTCATCCTTATCAAGAGGATTGAAAGCATTAATCACACATCCAGACATGAATACTAATATATGCTGTCTATTCCTCATGGTAATTTTGGCTGGTTAAGATGTGTTTTAACCTGTGTCATCACCACTTCTGCAGACAATTTAGAATGCTTTCACACATGTCCATATGGAAAGGAAAGAAAAAATTAATTAGGAAGATGGGCGATCACTGCCTTATTTAATTTCTTTTCATTTTTTTAGGCTTGCATTTAAGCAAACTTTTTGCTTTTAGAATATTCTTCCACTAAAATCTACATTATACAGACTTTGCACAGACAATGCTAACTGTACTATCTCAGAATACTGACACTAAATTATGAGTTTTCAGAACAGTTATCCATACAAATACCTTGTCTGCAAGTTAACTACTGGAATGGGCTATTACCATGTTATAATGTTTCTTCTTAAAGACTCATGCAATGTATTCAGGTCAAATGACCACGGATATGTTCACAGAATCACAGAATCACTCAGCTGGAAAAGACCTCTGAGATCATCATGTCCAACTGTTCCTGTCTACCCACTAAATCATATCCTCAAGTACATCATCTACCCGCTTTTTAAATAAATCCAGGG